CCAACGTCTGCTTAATGTTACTTCACCTGATGTTGTAATATTTCGGCTATGTGGAAATTACTTCTCAATGTCTATATCAGAATTTAATCTTGCTATGGGGTTCGTGATGGATGTCACGAGTCATTCGTATTTAACCGCTTTACTTGAGATTACATAGAGTTTCGATGCCAACATGGCTTATGAGGGACTTACCGGTTTGGCCAGCCACACTTTCAACGCGAGCCCATCTTATCCATGACCCAGTCTTGCGCTACATCCATCGCTTCCTCACTTATAATTATTCTGGCCGGAACAACTCATCATCCTCCTTAAGCCGAGTCGAGCTATTCTTTTTGTGGTGCATGTCCACCGACGAATGTGTGAACTTGGGATTCTAGTTTGCTCGGGCCTTTGAGATCGTTATTCGATCCAATTGCCCGCTTATCCTTGGCCCTTATATTACATATTTAGCTTCTCGCGTCGCTAACTTTAATGTAACATGATTTACTTATGCTTTTTCTACAGATGCTTTAGATGAGCGATGCTTGGATTCAAAGGGCCTACTTGCGGGAACTCCGACCGCACCATACTTCGTTCCACCGGGTGTACTCACTCCTCATAGCGAGCGCGTCTTCATGCGCCATAATGCACCAGCTTCGCCACCTGCAGCACCCCACCGGATATGCAAACTCAAATGGATGAAGTCCATAACCGCCTCGACTACATCGAGACGAACATCACTGAGATTCTCTCCTACTATGTCCTGGTGCCTCTCATCGCAGCCAAGGCCGTGACCGTGGTCGACATTAAATCCGGGGAGTACTCTATTCCTTCTCTTGCACTTTAATTTTTTGTTTTGAGGCAAAACACTTTAATTGAGGGGGAGTAGAGTGTATGATTAAATTTCACCTTGCTTATCTTTATGTTTCGATGCTAGTATGTGTTGATTAGATTTGTCGAAAATTTCATTGATTGTCTTTGTCTTATGGAAAATTTTTGGAATTCTCTGCTTGTTTTGGAACACATAATTGTTTAGGTTAGGATATTCTTGATAGAGAATAGCATGAATTGTGATCAAGTTGGTGTTTTTGTGATATTCCATACCTTTGTTGGTTGAAATGTTATTAACTCAATGCATGAAACAATTTGGTGAGATTTGAGCCTTTACGAGCATATTATTTTCGTTCTCATTTTGTTGGATTGAGTGTGTCGAATTTGACATTGGTATTCTAGAACTTGCATATTAAATACTGTCGAGATTACACATGAACATGATGCTTAAAAATGATTTGGGCACCTTAGGATTAACCTTTCCGTTTCCCCACTAAAAATCCTACCCATGCTATTTTCTCCTAGTTAACCACTTTTGAGCCATTTCAATTTCTTTATTTTTACCACATTTATACACTCAAACCTTTTTGTTTTATCCCTCTTTTCTACCTTTTTTAGGACAAGGGAGTAATTATCCGATGTATGCTCCATGAAAAATAAGGAAAAAACAACAGTTTGAAAAAAAGAAAAAATGTTGTTCGAAAAAAAAGAGAAAAAAAAATGGGAAAACAAAATAACAAAAGTGTGAAAAAAATAAAAAAATCAAATGCATTTTGGTGTTTGACAATTAGTCTTTTATTCTTGGTGTGCTTAATGTTTTAATGGATTCGATATTATCATTTGTTAGTTCTTTGCCTTGAATATTTAGCCTTTTCCCCACCTTTACCTAAGCTCGTTACAACCAATAAAAGACCCTTTGATTTATGCATCATGTTCTTATTAGTAGCGGAGATTTGATTTACTTGCAAGCCTATGGTAATGTCATGTCGATTCTGACATTGAGCATTTTTTTACCCCCAAACACATTGAGTAATTTGAGTGAATCCCGGTAAGGTGTTGAGTTATGAACATTGAGATTAATGAATGAATGGATATTACAATTTCACTTGACTTGTTCCAATTAGTGATGTTCAATTGATTGATTTCTTGACTTGAATAGTTATTGTGGTCTCTACCTTGCTTCCTTGAATGTGAAACTTGACAAAGAACGGTAAATGAAATTTTTGACTAGTTTGATTAATCATACTTGAGGAAAGCAAGAGATAAGTGAGGGGGAATTTGATGAGTGTTCAGAATCATTAATCTTTGCCCATTATTTCTTCAGTTTTGAGGATTTATTATTTCTAAATTGGTCGTGTTATGTTTGTTTTTGTGCAGGTCCTTACTTTCAGAATTAGTAACAAAACGGGCGCATTCTGCATTTTTTTTATTATTTGGTCATGGCTGGAGACATGGGCACGACGCGGTGTGACGTGGCAGTTTCTAGAAGGTCCAGTCAGCGACGGTTTCTAGAAGACTTACTCCGCACGCCTTCTGGAAGACTGACGAGCAGAGTTGCATTAGGAGACTACTTTAAGTTTGAATTTAAATTAAAAAACAATTATCTTTAGGATTATTTTATTTATTTTCTTTGTTTATCATTTAGGCTTTGAGAGGCTATAAATACCCACTTGGGGTAAGCCTAAACTCATCACTCAAATTACATTCTTCTTTTCTCTCTAGTTTTTATAAAAGTTTTCTCTTTTTTCTTTTTAAGTTCTTTTCATTTTTCTTTTATTTTTCAAGATTTGTTTTCAAAATGCTAAGTATGACATTTGTCATGCTTAGCTAAACTTTTCATAAGCCGAGAGCTGTCGCGATGACTCAATTCCATCAGGAGAATTGAAACAGACCCTTAATATCTTCAGAATATCTCTCTCAATCTATGTGCTTATTTTTTCAAAATCAAAACAGTTTTCAAAATCAAAGATTGAATTTGATCAAGAGGTTGTTGCGATTAAATGTGTGGGAGGAAGATTTGGATTACAGAAAGCAATTCGACTTCCTGGGAACACACTTGGCGAGATAGTTTCGCCAAAAGGGAATTGAGATCGGAATTGATGGTTATCGAAGCAACAATCCGAGTCGGAAGCCACGAACTTAAACGGTAATTGATCTACTACAATTGATGTTGTTAGAATCAATTACCGAAGCCAGAATCAAAGATTGCCTTGGGTATTCGGTATACAAGATAGAGTCACGGGGATAGCCCTTGTAGACAAAGTAACCGACGTGAATCCCGAAGAGAAAATCTTATTCGATGATCATAAGGAAATTGAGTCAAAGCAAGGCTTGAGGCTATTTTTACAGTATTTATTCCCAATCTCTACTCTCTTATTTTTATTTAAATTGCTTTTATTTATTTAATCGCTTTTATCACTTAAATATATTTATACCAAAACCCCCTTTTATAACTTTCACGCTTGGTTTAAAACAATCAAACATAAATTTGTGATTTTATATATCCCTAAGGATTCGACCCTTATTTCTCTAAACTACGCATTTCCTTATTGATAAATTGAGAAAAAGGAATTATTTTGACATCCAAAATGACAGTTGTTAGAAATTGTCACCAAGAAGAGGAAAATTGAAAAGTATGAGACTGTTACTACAGCAAAAAAATTATGCTCCGTACTGAGCAAGCCACCGCCAAAGCAAAAAGATCTAGGCAACTTTATCATTCTATGTTCTATATGAGACAACTATGTTGGGAAAAAGCTATTTGACCTTGGATTAAATGTGAATCTAATACCCAAGTCGATATTCTTAAAGCTTGGGATGGGAAACGCAATACCTACCTCCATTATATTGCAACTAGCCGGCTGATCCCATGTTCGTCCCGATGGAAGGATCGAAGATGTCATAGTGAGGGTGGATAAGTTTGTGTTCCCAGTTGATTTTCTCATCCTTGATTGCAAGGTTGACACTAATGCACCCATAATTTTAGGGATGCTTTTCCTAGACACATGTCACATTCTTATTGATTGTGAGAATGGTGAACTCACTATGAGAGTAGTTGATCAAATTGTGACTGTGAATGTCCTCCAAACTCTCAAGTATGTGGATGATTACTAGAGCATTCTAGAAACGAACTCAATGATATAAGGGGAACCTGACGAATTTTTCTACAGTAATTTCATATGGTTGGAGGATTATGAGAGGTTAAATGAAGAGGAAAGTATAGAAGAGCCGAGGATTTTCCATTAGAGGTACAACAGTCTAGCTTACTCATAGTTAAACCAGGTACGCAATTTGAACCTCTAGACTTTGATGAATTTATTCCTCCAAAACCCTCGCTACAATATGCACCTACCCAAGAGCTAAAAAACAAATCAAAATGCCATGCAATTTAGAAATCAAAGAGGAATTCCCATATGAGAAAATTTTATATATCACGGCAATTCCATAGTACGTTGACATTGTTAACTTTCTTTTTAGTGGTATTTTGCCTAATGATTTGACCAACTAAGGTAAGAGGAAATTCAAGCATGATGCAAGATTTTACTTTTAGAATGAGTCATACAAGTTCAAATAATATGTTGATCAGATAATATGACGATGTGTCCCTGAAGATAAGCAAAAAGAAATTCTACATCATTGTCACATGACTCTGTGTGGAGTCCACTTTAGAGGCGCAAGGACTGCAGCAAAGGTTCTTCAATCAAGCTTCTATTAGCCCACCCTCTTTAAGGGTGCCCATGAATTTTATAAGGATTGTGATAGATGCCAACACACAGGAAACATCTCTAAACAAAATGAAATTTCATTGCAAAATATTATGGAGATAGAGCTTTTCGATGTATAGAGTATGACTTTATGGGACCTTTCTCATTTTCATTTGGAGATATCTACATCTTATTAGCAGTTGATTGTGTATCTAAGTGGGTCGAGGCAATTGCAAAACCAAGGAACGACTCAAAGACGATGCTCAAGTTCCTTCATAAAAACATCTTTAAAAGATTTGGGGCACCTAGAGCTATCATCAGTGATTAAGGAACCAACTTTGATAACAAGTTAATTGATAAATGATTATAAAGATATGGGGTGCGATATAAAATTGATATAGCATATCATCCTCATACCAAAAGATAAGATGAAGTCTCCAACCGTGAGATGAAGTAGATCCTTTAAAAGGTGCTAAATCCCAAGAGGAATGATTGGTCTCCCAAGCTCGATGAAGCACTCTCTAGCTATCGCAAAGCATTAAAGACACTACTTGGGATGTCATCGTTTAAGCTTGTTATGTCAAGGCATGCCATCTTGCGGTGGATCTAGAGCACAAGGCCTACTGGGGAATCAAGAAGCTCAACATGGGCGCCCAACTAGTTGGTGAGAGAAGATAGCTAGAGCTGAATGAGATGGAAGAATTTTGATCCCAAGCATATGAGAATGCTCGTCTATACAAGGAGAAAACAAAGAAGTGGCATGAAAAACATCCTTTTCCACATAATTTTCATGTAGGCCAACAAGTTCATTTATATAATTCATGGCTCAAACTCTTCCTTGGCAAGCTCAAGTCACGATGGTCATGCCTATTCCAAGTACATCATATCTACCCTCATATACCAGTGGATATCGACGATGGCATCATCTTTAAAAGTCAATTGCCAAAGGCTGAAGGCCTACACTGGAGCTCCAATTTTGCAGGACAAGTCAGTGCTCATCCTTGAGGATGCATGAGTTTATCCCCTCTATCCATTTTAAATTGCTACAACATTTTTGTTTGATACTTTTTCCATAAATAATTTGTTTATTTACTTTTATTGGTATTATGTTTTGTCTTTTATCCTTTATTTCAAACCTTTTGTTTTTTATTTTATTTTATCATCAAGCCATAGTAATCTCCCGTGCAGATGATTAGGAATCACTTGAAAAGATTAGTTGAATGCCCTCAGATCCTACCTACTGATGACTCTGAGGAGGTTGTGTCCTAACCTACTAACAAGAATCAGAACCGGAGCAACAAAGCCCAAAACTTTCAAGGAAGTGCACTAATTGATCGGCGGGCATGACCACACCACCACCAGAATGAGGTACGCCATATTGTATTTTTAGTTTGTATTGCATTTAGTTTCTTTTAATTTAGTTTTCATGCATTGAGGACAACGCTTCCTTCAAGTTTGCGGGAGGTAGTATTCATTGTTAGGCATTTGCATTGATAGTTGTCAACAAATTTTTGCTATGACATTTATTAGGTTTTAAGATAATTTTTGGAATAAATTGATGATGCTAACAGATGATGAATTTTTTTTAGGTTGTGATTGATTGAATGTACATGACAGCTGAGGTTAATAGAACCAACTTTAGGACTTGATTCTTTGTGATTTATTTATGCATGATTGTATGCTCTCTATGTTAAGGAAAGAAGAAACTTTTTATGAAAGGATTCTTGCATACCTTAGAATAAATTAATGTAATGAACTTAATGATAAATGATAGCTTGAAAGGCTCAAAGTAAATTCCATTATGTTATTAATGTGTTGAATCGCAAATAAATGCTTCGGCATAACTATAGAGGGACACTCATATTTTATTTAGCATATAAGTGAATGAAAATAGTCACGGGATGACTCTACTTAATAGGCTAGGGAATGGGGTGTTTGCTCCACTTCATTTTCAAGTCTAGGAATGTAGTTGTTATAGGTTGGCTCCCCTCATAGCATTAAAAAATTAAATCTTAAACATACGGGAGTAATTATGTTCTTAAAGGTTGAATAAATGTTATAACATAAAGAGAGAGATTACCTATAAAGTTTCTAACTTTATTAAGCATAAACTAGATACAATCACGCACACACATGCAAAAAATCTTGTTCTAGGGAAAGTTCTTCAATTCTCAATTTTTCTAAAATATTGAAGCCAATTGTTTTTTAGGGCTAAAATTATATGCCATATAATTGTCCCGATCTTAACTTTGCCATAACATTCTTTTTTGTTGATCTCTATCCATTGTTTGATGACAAGCAATAGCTTAAGTTTGGGGCGTGATAACCCCGTAAAAAAGTCTATATTTTGTGCCTTTTTACTTAGGTTATTGATTGTTTAAAAGTTTACATCATAGCATTAAGATTTTATTTAGGCTCATATAGTTGCATATGGCGGAAATGATTTACTGCAACATTTTATTTTGTAAACTGGTGCTATTTGATGGGAAATGTCATGCTCATTTGTTGATATGCAGGTGAAGAAAGCTTAAGAAGAAGTAGTGATTTGTCGTAGCATTCTAGATGAGGAGATATGGAGAACTGTTGATGCTGATGGACATAGAAAATTGCTACAACATTCTAGATAGCATTTCTGGGCGCAAAAAATTATAGAAAATCTGAAGATATTTTGCTACCAGCTTTCCAAGCCCACCTATCAGCCTATCCAACCCACACATGTTTATTATTTTCTTTGCTTGTTGTATTTATTTACTTAGGATTGTAAGAGCTTATGAGAGTAGCCATTTCTTAAGTTCGATGCCTATTATTCAAGAGAGCTATGTGAAGATAAATGTGAGCAATGGGATTTAACTGCTAACTAAGACCTAATTCGCCTTAGAGATAAGGGTAGGATTTCGACGACTAAAAGAAGTAGTGCTTAATCGATAGGATTTTTGCTAGAGTTCACGCTAAGAGATACTGCCATGGCATTTTTATCGGTCAGGTTCCTTACTAGTGATAGCCTAGGAACACTCTTACTAAACTATGTCGAGCAAATAGACATAAGGGGCTTAAACCATTCTAGAAGTCAATGCTTAAGATTCCTTTGTGAGCTGGTAATCATTCCCATTGTAGCATGTTTGTGTGAGGTTGTTATCTTATTCAATTATAGATTCTCAATTTCAATTGCTTTAGCATTTTTAATTGGATAAACTTCATACATCTCAGTTTGTCATAACATTTCCATTTGCTACTTTTTCATATTCCCATTGAAATTCCATATACATACATTCATCTTGCTACAATATTATCATTTTTTCATACCATTACACTAACTTTACCCGGATAATTTAAGTTAGTTCTTTAATTTAACTTTTGATTTCTTCAATCCCTGTGGAGATGTAATCACTCACTATTATTTTACTTGTTCAATTGTGTATACTTGCACATAATTTTTGCGTAAATTTATAAGCACACCAAATACGAACAAGTATCAATACTTGTTTTAAGACTCTCCACAGGAGCATCGATACCCAACTATTTTTATAAAACATCGAAATTAAATTTGGTATTGATACTCTGATGAGTATAGATACCTTAGCCCGAGAGTATCGATATTGGTCCAACAGTATCGATACCATCATTTGGTTTAAGCTGTTTTCAACCCAATAATACCGATAATCAAGGCTGAGTATCGGTACCCATAGATATTTTTGGGTAAGCAACCCAAAAGATTTTAGAATGATAATTGAGGAACCTAAGAACACTTTAATGATCACGAATAAGATTTCAGGAAAGAACTCTCAATAATGATTAATTACAAATAGAAACAATATCAATTAGGATGACAAAAATCTATCCTTCTTTGACACTCAGGTAAACGAGAAGGAAACCTGAGTTACTCTAGTTGATGACGATAGTTACGAAGTATAGATAGTCTGGATATCCTTAGGTAGTGCGCAAGGAACTTGAGACTAACTTTTACGTAAGGCCTTAACACTCGCAAAGTGTGGGTTAGTTAAATGACCTATCTAATGTAGTGTTTTTGGATCCTAATCCTTTGTAGACTAGAGGGGTGTGTGAGCTCTGAGAAGAAGTAATCCCTCAGTCGTACCATGATTTCTACCCTAGAGTAGTGTGAGCATACAAGCGTACTCACTTTTTTATTGTGCCTAATATCATGAGCATTGTTGAACACATTTAGCATGATATTTTTGGTTAGTGTGGCATTATATTAGTGAGCTCAACGTTTAGAATTGTTTTTTCATTCGTAGGTCTTTAGGTGGTGCATTCGAGGAGCCGGTCGTATCACATGCATTCTGGACAATCGATGAATTCGAGTAAGTCTCAAGTTTGTATTTTAGAGGGTATGTATTATTCATAGACCTTCATGTTGATATTCGGTTGTAACATATTGATATACTATTTTGGGAGAACCCCGTACAGTAAAGGAATAATTATTATATTTTTCGTATTGTGAAACTTGGATTATTTTTAAATATTATTTATGGTTGTTTTAAAAATAAATTTCTGGGGTTAGCCGCTCCGATGGTCCGGTGTGACATCCTAATCATTCGATTGTGTGTCATATCAAATTAAGGTTTTACATTTAGTGGTATCAAATTGTCATGTTTAGTCATTTCTATGACCCTCGTATTTGATTTGGTAAAAGTCTATGATTATACAGGCCTCTAGCGAGTCAATAGTGCGTTTATGTATGGAACAGTGATATTGACCCCTCATTTTTCTTAATTTTAGAGTTTAACTGTGGATGAGTGCATCGACCCTAACAATGAGGGTAGAGTAGAGATACTAGTTTTACTAGCGGGTGATATTGGGAATGACTTCGTTTCATATAATGAGTTAGGGATCAGGAGGACACCATAGTCGATGAGGCGACCTTCTTTAGAGAACTAACTACGACCCTCACGCACATAGTACGAGCCATACCTAGTGCACCAGTCCTACCACTTTCTCCTCTCGCACAATTAGCCTCTCTAGTAGTAACTCATAAGGAGTCACTGGTCGAGTGACTCCGTAGGTACCAGATAATGGATTTCCTTGGGTTGGGAAATGACAACCCCATAGCTGCATATCAGTGGCTGAAAGAGACTCTCCACACACTCAGACAATTGTACCTTACCCCCAAAGGGTAACTTAGAGTGCATCACCTCCTTGTTAAAGAGTAAAGCTATAGATTGGTGGGAGACCCTCGATTTGGCAATGGAGCCTGAGAGGTCCACGTGGGAGTTCTTTCCGTCCAAGTTTAGACAAAAGTAGATTGAGGACGCTCACACTAATGACCTGAGAAACCAGTTCCTCAATTTGACTTCGGGGGATCGTTCGGCTATGGAGTACGAGAAAAAGTTCTTCTGGTTAAGCCGGTATGCACCAGAGTTAGTAACGTTTGAGTATCATTACTGCAGGAGGTTCAAGAAAGGCCTCTACCTAGAAATCCTCACTCACTTAATTGTTGACCCACCTAAGATATTCATCGAGTTCACTCGTCAAGCGAAGACACTTGAGAGAGTTTTGGGGATGAGATCCAAAGCTTCAGTTATCGCCTCAACACAGAGTCAAAGGGTGGTTGAGTCCTTGAAACCTACTCAAGCATCGGTCAAGAGGGCCAAAGATTCATAGGGATCATGGAAGACCCCAACTAGTTAGTTTAGAATACCGACTCATAGCGCGGATCGCAGGGGTAAATCTAGGTTTCTGGCCTTTCATTCTTATGGGAAGAGGTATACAATGATGTGCAATGTTGGGATCCAATATTGTTTTGGTTATGGCTCGCTAGATTATTTTATTCGGAATTACCCACAGGCATAAAGTGGGATCATAGAGTAGATTCAGAGATTCATCCAGTCAGCCTAGAAAGGTCGAGGACCAACGAGAGGTAGGAGTTATGTTTCCAGATAGCACAGTAGAGGTGTCCCTAGGTCCGTTGCTGTTTCGAGCCTAGGTAGCCTCATATCAATAAGTGTTAAAGCCTAGGAGGAGTGCGACCTACAAATGTATCTTAGGTATATTCACCGTGTTTTCTATTTCGGTTATAATACTAGTAGATTAAGGATCCACCCACTTATATATATGTTACGACTTAGCCTGAGAAAGAAGCCTAGTAGTCAAAGATTTAGTGATAGGGTCTGAGTGTCTTATCCTTTGGGGTTGAACATCCTAGTAGACAAAATTAACTGTCATTTTCCAGTGGAAATTCATTCTAGCAGATCTCATGGAGCTACCCTTTACAGAATTTGACTTAATTTTGAGAATGGATTGGCTTTCAGATCATGATGCTAGCTTGATGTGTAAAGCTAGAAGCTTAAACTCAGAAAGTTAAATGGAGCCAAGGTCATAATGGTTGATGAGAAATCGAAGGGAAAAAGGGTTGTGCCAACCATCAAGACACAAAGAATGTTAGATTAAGGTTGTGAAGCTTTCTTGGCTCACGTAATCGACACTCAAGTTGCAGTCCCAAGACTTGAAGATATTTGAATCGTGTGAGATTACCCAAAAGTATTTCTAGATGAACTATTAGGATTACCGTATGAAAGATACTTCTCCTTACCACATGGCACTGATAGAGATAAAGGAGTTAAAATCCAAAATCCAAGAGTTCTTGGAGAAGGGTTTCATCCGGCCAAGTATTTCTTCTTGGGTAGCATCGATCCATTTTGTCAAGAATAATGATGGGTAAATGAGGTTTTGCATTAACTACTAAAAATTGAACAAGTTAACTGTTAAGAACCATTATCCTCTCCCAAGAACTGATGGCCTCTTTGATCAACTTAAAGGGATGTGTGTATTCTCCAAGATAGATCTGAGATCAGGATATTATCAATTGAAGGTTAAGGATGGAAACATAGCCAAGACAATGTTTAGAATGAGATATGATCACTATGAGTTCCTTTTGATGTTGTTTGGGCTCACCAACACCTCGACAACATTCATGGACCTAATGAATAAAGTTTTTCACCCGTACTTAGACCAGTTTGTGGTGGTCTTCATAGATGATGTACTTGGGTACTCTAGATCAGAGGATGAGCATGGTCGGTACCTTTGCATAGTCATGCAGACTCTCTGAGAATGTCAGTTGTTCGCCAAGTTTGGGAAGTTTAAGTTCTAGTTATACGAAGTTGCATTTTTAGGACATGTAGTGGCAACGGTTTGTATTCGGGTTAATCCCTAGAAGATTTGGGATGTTTTAGAATGGGAACCTCTGAAGAACATGACCAAAGTACATAGTTTCTTGGCCTTGCAGGGTACTTTCGATGGTTTGTAAAAGGTTTCTAGGTGATAGCTACTCTGATAACTAAATTACTTTAGAAAGGGGTTCTGTTTATGTGGGACGAGAAGCGACAGAAAAGTTATGAGCAATTGAAAGCCATTTTAACCCAAGCCCCAGTCCTAACCCAACCAAAATCAGGAAAAGATTTCATTGTGTTTGGCGATACATCACTGAACGGCCTTGGGTGTGTTCTTATGCAAAAAAGGAAAGTTGTAGCTTATGATTCCCATCAACTCAAGCCTTACGAGCGAAATTACCCCACCCATGACTTAGAACTTGTAGTAGTATTTTTCACACTCAAAATTTGGAGACACTATCTTTTCGACGAGAGGTGTCACATATTCACCGATCACAAGAGCCTCAAGTACCTACTGAAGAAGAAAAAATTGAATTTAAGACAATGTAGATAGGTTGAGTTGTTAAAGGACTATGATTTTGTGATTGACTACCGCACTGGGAAAGTGAATGTAGTTGCTTACAATTTTAGCAGAAAGTCGATGTCATAGTTGAGGTGTTGTTAGTATGTCTGAGCTTGTTTAGCGGTGGTGGGTTGTTACCAGAGTTACGAGTAGAGCATGAACTTGTAAGTGAGGTTAAAAGGTTGTAGAGTTCTAATAACCTCTTTTAGGATCGCGTGAACAAATCCATAGAGGTGAGGCCTTGGGTTTTGAATTGCGCGAGGGATATGTGCTCTTATTTAGAGGGTATTTGTGTGTTCCTTTCAGTGAACAATTGCGTAACAAGATCCTCCACGAGGCCCATTGTAGCCCATTTTTGGTTCATCTGGGTAGCAACAAGATGTACCAAGAGCTTTGGTCTTTTTTTGGTGGTCGAGGATGAAAAGTAAAGTGTCTAAGTTCGTTGCAAGGTGCTTAGTATGCCAACAAGTAGAAGCAAAACACCAGGTCCCTTCAGGGTTGCTTTAGCTTATCTATATAATGCAGTGGGAATGGGACAGGATAACTGTGGATTTCATGATAGGGTTACCGATGATTAGGCAGAGGCATGATGTAATTTGGGTCATAGTAGACTAGTTAATTAAATCGACTTATTTTCTCCCTGTTTGAATATATTACACATTAAAGACGTTGGCGCAACTCTATGTCCATGAGATAGTGAGACTGCATGGAGTACAGTCATCAATCATTTTTTATATAGATCCTCTTTCACTTACCTATTTTGGAAAGCTCTCAATGAAGCCTTAGGTACAAAACTCCACTTTAGTACCGCATTCCATCCTCAGACTGACGGCCAATCTGAAAGTACTATTCAGATTTTAGAGGAAATGCTTAGGTGTACCATCATGGACCTTGAGGGTAGTTGGGAGGACTACTTGCCACTAGTCTAGTATCTAGTTGGCTCTGTATATAGACAGAAGTATAAGACTTTGCTTTATTTGACCGAGCGTAGTGAAGGGAATATAATTGGCCCGAATTTGATTAAAGAAACTAAAGAGAAATTTAGTTGATCCAAGGTTAATTGAAGGAAACTTTTGATATGCAAAGATTGTATGCATACTTGAAACGTAAGGATATCAAGTTTACCGTGGGGGACAGATTGTTCCTCAATGTGTCCCGGTGGAAGAAAGTACTCCAATTTGGATGTAAAGGAAAGTTGATCCTATGTTTTATAGGACTTTATAAGGTACTCGAGAGAATTGAACCCATATCTTATCAGTTGGCCTTACCCTTGGAGTTAGAGTGCATCCACAATGTATTACATGTATCTATGCTTAGGAGGTACCATTCCGCCCTTTCTCGTATTATACCTTTAGAGCATATTGAAGTAAACCAATATATGACTCATGAAGAAGAACCGATAAGAGTCTTGGCACGAGAGGTGAAATAGTTAAGGAACAAGTGGATTCCCCTAATGAATATTCTATGGAGGAATCATGGAGTTGAAGAGGCAACGTGGAAAATAGAGGAGGATATGCAACTTCATCTGCATCTCTTCTATTCAGGTAAACTTCGAGGAAAAATTTTTTATTATGAGGGGAGAGTTGTAACGCCTCAAATCCTATTTTAGAAGTTTCGGGCTAACCCAAGATTGAATCTAAATAAACCCATTAGCTATAAGGAAGCCTTAGTCCAAGATTTGTTAGGTTTGGGCTTGACCTTGGCCTAATATGAGATAAAAGAGGGTGTTTTTAATCTTAGCAAGAAAGTGAAATGACTAAAAGTGCAATTAGACCATTGTTTGAAATAAAAGTTGAATCCCCTTAATTATAGATGATCTCACAACTATTTTTATCTATTTTTCACCATACTCTTCTTGTCTTCTTCTTCCTCTTTCATATATCTTTTCCTATCTAAGAAGATAACCAAAGGTTGAAACTTGTAGCCTTCCAAGCCTAATTTAAAGATTCCAAGGTAAGAATTAAAGTCTCCATCTTCAAAGCTTTCTTTTAAGCTATTAAAATCAAAGTTTGGCCTTAGGAAACCAAAGGTGGGTTTTAATGGGGGTTTATGAAATCCAGCGTTCTAGCCCATTTTTTAGATGATTTAAGTGTTAGGAAGTGTTCATAACTTCAATCCAAATCCCTAGAATAAGTTAGGAACTCATTTTCCTTGTCTTGATTATTGAAAGAAGTGGGAGAAGTCTCCAAGGAAAAGGGAAGGAGAAGTTACACCTTGGGTGACCTTGGAGAAGTTGTCTACAATTAGAAATCAAGGTAACACGTTTACAATTTCCTCATATCAATTGTGAGTCAATGTGATGCATCTAGCTAGGAAATAGAACTTGTTTAGCATGAATAAGTTTTCATTATAGATTCTCGTATTTGATATTATTAACATGTTTAAAGACCTTTTATGACCCCTAATCATTCATATAAGGTAACCTCAATAAGTCTTTTGGAGTAGTTTAGGGAGAAAAATTTGTACCTAAATAAGGCATTTCTGAGCTCGAGTATCGGTATTGGAATAACAATACCGATATTGTTCTTCAACTTATTAAAACAAAGGGTTTGGGAAGAAAAATATCAATACCCCTTCAAAGGGTATCGATATTGATGGTCTGGTATCGATAGTCTCAGGGTAGTATCGATACCGAAGAAATTTTATCAAACATCGAAGCAAATTTTGGTATCGATAATAAGGAAGTATCGATACTCGTATCGATACTCTCCATAGGAGCATCGATACCCAGCTATTTTTCTAAAACATCAAAACCAAATTTGGTATCAATACCTTGGTGAGTATCGATACATTAGCCTGGGAGTATCAATACTGGTCCAACAATATCAATATCATCCTTCGGTTTATGCTTATTTTCAACCCAACAATACCGATATTCAAGGGTGAGTATTGGTACCCATGGACATTTTTGGATAAGAAACCCAAAAGATTTTAGAACGATAATTGAAGGACCTGAGAACGCTTTAATGACCATGAATAAGATTTCAAGCGAGAACACTCAATAATGATTAATTACAACTAGAAACATTATCAATTAGGATGACATAAATCTGGCCTTGTTTGACACTCGAGTAAATGGCAAGGACATCAGAGTTACTTTAGTTGATGACGATAGTTACGAAGTATAGATAGTTCGGATATACCTAGGTAGTGCACAAGGCACTTAAGACTAACTATGGCTCAAGGCCTCAACACTCGCAAGGGGTGGGTTAGTTGGGTGATGTATCCGACGTAGTGCTTCAAGGTCCTCATTCTTTGTAGACTACAGGGGTGCGTATACTCACTTATTTTATTGTAGCCAATAGCATGAGCATTGCTGAACATATTTAGTATGATTTTGTTGTTAGTGAGGTCAGTGTTCGAAATTGTTTTTCGTTCGCATGTCCTTAGATGAAGTATTCGAGGAACTGGTCATATCGTAGGCATTCCAGACAATCGAGGAATTCGAGTATGTCTCGAGTCTGTATTTTAGAACGCATATATTATTCATAGACCTTTGTGCATTTAAGTCGTACTTATTTTGATATTCGGTTGTAATATTTTGATATACTATTTTAGGAGCTCCCCGTACTGGAAAGGGGAAATTATTATGTTTTCGTATTGTAGAACTTGGATGATTTTTAAATAGTATTTTATGGTCGTTTTAAAAAAGAAAAATTTTGGGTTAGCCACTTCGGTGCTCTCGTGTAATGTCTTAATCGATTGATTGTGTGTCGTATTAGATTAGGGTGTTACATATACAATGAATATAACAATTTGTTTTGGGCAAATTGTTGAAGATATTTTTAAGTACATAACACTAACCAACATGTAGTGACTTTTTTGGATACGGGATTCAAGCTTTTCTAAATTGAGATGTCCTCTTAGATATCGATTGTCTTTCTTTTACCTTTCTAATACATTTTGAAATGCCTCAATTGAACGTCGAAAAATTAAGATATATTCCTTTCAAAAAAAAAAAGATAATGTGTCCACAACTAGATACAAGTCCAATACTAAAATTCTGAATTATTATACATTTTTAATCATTCAATTTTTTCATGAAAAAACAATAAACTGTTACATACAATAACTGTTTAATAATTTTAAAATATCTATATTATATATTAAAGTGGTTAACTCGATCCCAACTCTGTTAAAAATTATAGAAGCACTCTTATTTTAAAGGATAACACACACTTATAAGAACATTTTTGTCCTTTTATAATTTTAGATAATCTTTAAATAAAACAATAAAAGTTATTACTTTAAAATCGAATATAAAATCAAATAAATTTTGTTTACATACCTTTTACACATTTATTTATTTAACTAAGTGATAAGTGACACTAACTATGTTGAAAAATTATGTAAAAATTAAATTCCACAATAAAATGTAATTTTTAAGGTTAAAATGATAATTTAATTTTTACTAATAAATCATTAAAGTAAAAATAATTATTTTTTTTAAAGAAAAATGTATATTAACTTTTAATTAAATTATTAAATATAATTATTTCTAATAAATTTTATTAATTTAAAATTTATTTAATAAAAATTTGATAGAAAGAGAACATAAGGAAATACGAATGATTTATTAACCCAAAAAGTTTGCTAACTTTTATGTACATTTGATTTCATAATACCTGCACTTCAAGATTCCACATTCAGATTGATATCTTCGTTCTAAAATCACCCATTACATGTCTTTCCTTGGCCTCCGGCTCAAATCCGAGTAGTGACCGCCCATTTCCTGCAAAATCTCAACCCACAAACGTTCCGACGACGCGTCTGATGTGTCTCCGAAAATAAGGTCCCGGCTACAGGCAGCCACATACCAATATTCAGATTCAATTTCCTCCAGTAGTTGCTCCATCTCCCATCCAGCGTAACCAACAAAGAACTTGAAATCCTCAGACTTAAGCTCTCCAATCTTCACCAGATCTCCAGCTATATCCCAACTCTCTCGAGCACCGAAAAAGAGGCCCGGAAACACCTCTTCAAACCCAGGAATCTTGGGAGTTTTCTCCCCTCTAGAAAGAAATAAACTCGCTTCGAGGGGCCCTCCAAAGAGCAGGGAACAATCAGCAAAAATAGTAGCTAACTCTCTACTACTAGGTTTCATTTGATTCATATTATTGTGCAGTGGGCGATTAATAATAAGTCCAAATGGCCCGTATAGTGGATGTCTGGTTCCAGATCTTAGAAGGAGAACAACTGTGCGTTCAAAGGTGCGAACTCCATCCAGCTTCTCCGTGGCAACAAGAACACAACCATTCTCAGGCACAGAAAGAGGGTGGGCCCATTTTTTTCCAAGAGGTTTCGATCCATAAGATGTCCCACTTTGATCATGAGCATCGGACTCGGTCTTCTCTACCTGCTAAAATTTAAGCAAAAGATTTTAGACTTGACTGTTCCTTGAGCAAGAATAAAATATTTTTACACACTGCTAGTAATGCTTGATGTTCCTTAATCTAAATTATTTTTATAAGATGGTCGGGGTTACCCAGACTTTGCCTGGAACTAATCTCCGCCAGATTCCCAGATAACATTAAGGGCACACTCTCACATTGCTTTAGTGCAGTCAAGGTTTTAGTCCTAAAATGCTCTCAAAGGATAGATCATAGAACCTTGGTTGACAAGGAAGAGGGTTCCTCCTTGACCGACATTGAAGAATGAGAGTATAGGAAACATCTTAGCAAAGGAAGAAAGAAAATATTATCTCACCAAAAAAACAAAAAAAAAACAATAATAACTCTATTATCAAGTGTAAGTATGCCTCCAAATACAGTATATCAAAAGCAGAAAGTGATAAAAAGCGGCAAAATGATACACCAACTTTAAGAAAACACTAGTATCAAGTATACGCATGAAAAGAGGAGTTGCACAAGAGCTGATAAACAATACCTTAAGAAAACAACTATATGATTGGGCAGGAACATTAGTGCCGAGGTGCATGCATTGACTACAATAATCTGTATTTCAGAGTCCGTACTTTTTTACGATTTTTTTCTATCTTAAATGGGATTGTCTGGATTACTTTCCCTTTTCCCCATTATAGCCAATGTTCTAATTGAGAAAAGAACATATACATATACACCAAATACTTTTTGAATGTCAGGGTCCCAATTTTGGGATTGACATCTACACTCAATATGTTTGGTCCATGTAGTTTCTCTAATCAAGTCCAACAACTTAGACAAACCATAAACAGGAAGTTATTAACATTGGACCTTCCGGAGAAAACTTAATTTAAGGAAGTAAGGAGATCCGTCCAAATAATTTTACAACTTAATTATAGGAGCAGCAGGTACATAATTCATGGAAGATAGACATCACCTCGTAATTCCTGTATAGCCTGGCTCTGAACTCTCTCCAGCCTGTATTCATATCAAGTTGAGGGAACTCTGAAATGCCAATTTAAGTATCATTAATAACTGGAAGAATGAGGGACATGAGAAAAGAGAAAACGTAAGACAACCGAAAATAATATAAAGCTGAAACCTATTATATGAAAAATTCCTTAAAAACTTTAACAAGATATTAACTTGATGCCGAAAGACAGCCAGAAGGTATTATCAGTAAAACAGCAAGGAGGAAGCATTTGGTTCAGAAGAAATGAGCTTAGCTAGTCAATCATGTCACAACCAAGCAAGTGAGAGATCGAAATCAAAAATGACCGCATTCTTTAATTTGCAAAGATCGTACAAGCAAGTCCATAGTCACTATCAAGGGTCTTTCTTTATCATAAAAATCATTTCATCAGCTATCACCATATGATTGGAAAATGAGAATTGACAAGAAAGGAGAGAAAATAATGAACACCGTTGCTAATGAAATGTAAACAACACAACGAAAAAGCATATGATGTTTCAGTTTCATGCCACTTTTGAAAAGAACTACAAGTTAAAATAAAGACAATTTCACAATAAACAAACAATTGAAATCCAAATAAACAAACAAACAATTTCACAGTTTAAGTTAAATACTAGTTCACCAAATCACTAATCTTTAGAGATTACCATTTTCTTCCATTCCACATTTCAAAGAAAATATTACCCTTACTATTTCAATCGGCCAGTCACTGTCCCTTAATGTTCAAGATCCCCAAGATTTGAACAAGTCACTCTTAAATGCATTTCAGCAACAAGCAGCTAAAAATTCCATAGGTATAAACTACAATTACACAAAAGATTATAACCTCCCCAAGAAAAGTAAAAAGCTGGACTTTTTATCCAAAAAGAAGAAGAAATTGTATACCAGAAGAAGAGGAATCATGGTCATCATTCTTCTTGGCCATAGCTTTAATTGTTAAAGAACAAGCCGCAGGTAAAGAGAAGCATGGAATTGAAGCTCGGATCCCAAAGACTCCGATTTTCCAAGTCTTCAAGGAATGGGGTCTTCCATGAATCAAATTCGCCTTCGACAACAAAGCCACAGCTCCAGAAGCAGCGGTGTTTGTGTTCTTCACGGGGAAAGCCCAACGATCCATTTTCAACGAGCGGAAACTCGGCTGCTTGACCCTTTTCTTCCTTCACTTCTTTCTTATTGCTCAGAGCGGAAACAGTTCCTTCGGTTTGGAAGAAAAATAAAACGATGATGAGAGCAGAAAATCTGAAACGGATATTATATAACAAAGGGTAAACTACAAAAATGATCATTTTCTTTTTAGTGTTATAAGTTTTTCCTTATTAAATTTAAAAAAATATATAAAATATTGTCACTCTAGTTTGTTTTAATTGAGATTTGATCATTTTTATTTTATTTTAATTAAGATATAGTCATTAAAGGTTAATTGTCATTAAACTTTTAACATTTTGCTGATGTAGTACGGTAAATATATAAAATTAAAATTAAATCATTTCCACGTAGATAACATGAGGATCAAGTTTTGGCCATTTTATTTTCATATTTGTACAGTTTTGGTCACTTATGTTATCGTTTTATTAAGTTTTGTTCACTTGCATTATTGTTTTATTTAGTTTTGATCACTTGGAAATGAGGTACTCAGAGGTCGGCGCAGTGACGGTGGTGCGACAGATCGCGCAAGCTTCAGGGGTTAATGGTGATCTTGAGCAGAAACAAACATTTGACGTTGAAGATGGATTTTGGATTGAGTTTAGTGGATGAATTCACAGATCCAAATATCGGGTTGTTTGGGTCCATAGATTATGTGTAACCAGAGCACTTTCTGAAGGAAAAATCACCACGAATAGTGATAGATTATCGGGTTATTTGGATCAATTGATTTGTCTTCTTGTTTATTGTTGGATTTGACATTCTGCAATCTCAATCTTTGGAAATTAAATTTTTGTTTGAATAACTGAGAATACCTAGCTTCATTTTATCTCTAGATGTCTATCCTCTTATTTTTCTATGATCTTGTAGTGTTATTATTTATTATCGAAAGTTGGAAATCTTTCATTATTTTTGAAATGTAGATTGAGTCCTTGAAAGAAGGAAAATGAAACAATGGAGCTATGGAGCAGAGATTTATGAAGAATAAGCAGAGAGAAAATGAACAATAATGGGGTTTGGAAGAAAATCTACTAAAATTGATAAATTAAAATGTTGTCCCTAAACTAATTTGAATTTATAAAAAGACCAATAATCAATATTTTGTCTAAAGTGTAGGGGTTAAAATAAAAATTAAATCATTTTACTAATGGGTCACATCATCAAATTAACAACATTCAACGTCCAAGTGACCAAAACTTATAAAACGATAACATAATGACTAAAACTTAACAAAATGATAACATAAGTGACCAAAATGTACAAATATAAAAAGAAAGTTACCAAAATTTAATTCACTTTTTATCTACCGTGACACATCAACAAACTGTTAAAGGTTTACTAACTATTAACATTTATTAACCATATTAATTAAAATAAAATAAAAATAATCAAATCTTATGTTTTATAAATTAAGAGAAAGTTTATAAAACTCAAACGGAAGTGATCATTTCTTTAGTTCCCCATAAGAAAAGGAAGTAGACAGGAAACAGAAACCAAGACTTCGGCTTTGTTTAGCCCAATTGGTTTCTTTTAAGTTAAACAATTTATATGGTCCAATAAAATTAACTCTTTGGGCCCAGAGAAAAATAAAAAAAAAATTAAAATTTTTATTTAGTTTTATAATTTACAATTTTGGTTTTAATTGTAACTATACATTATTCAATATTTACTATATTATCAATTATATATTAGTACAGTAAATATTTATTAATACATAAATTATGTATTATATATTTATTATTTAAAACTTTAATTTCGAATTATTTACATGTCAATTAGATTAGGAATTAACATATAAATTAAAATAATTTTTAAACTTAAGCATAATTATAATAAAATAATGACATAAAATAGCTCTAACGTCTAGTACAATAAATATTTAACTCTTATCACAAATGTACTCGCGTCATAAAAAAGATGTTGACATGATAAATTATCATATAAATAACTTTTATTAAATTATTTACAATCAATTAAAAAGTGAAATATGTACAAAATATAAAAATATTGTTGTATAATGGGGGATTTAAACCCGGCTCGCATGAATGGAAAGGCATCTTTCAATCATTAAATCAAACTGTATATTTTTTGGTCTATTTAATGAAAGAAAATAAATAGAGTTTGATAAATGGAGTGAGATATTTCAAGTCTCAAATATTGGTTCTACACAAGCAGAGTATTTGGAAAGCATCTTTCAACCACTAATGAATAGCTAAATTTTCAACAGGTTTCACCTTTTATAACAGCTGTTCAACCGCTAATGTGTACTTTCTATCAAACTGAATTCAGTTGACAATGTTATTCACACCTTTTGCAGTTTGTCCTCACCGATGATCCATCGTGTCAACCGACTTGGATCTTCAGTAAATGATTTGCACGACACAGGAAAAATACCAAGATCAGCTCCGATTAGGTCGTATTCCCGCAGTGCTTCAGCCATCTCGGCTTCAACAGATGCATCATCTACAACATCAATTGTGTTCATTTGTAGAAGATCAGCATAATGATTCTCTCTTTCCAGATCACGCTGGAAAGGCTCCATGGCTGGTCCCTGGTATTCCAATCATTTTAAGAAATCAAGGATCGGATGTCAACTTCCATTATGTTAATTAAATGTTAGAAAAGTGCTATTATTTTCATTTCCATTATGTTAATTAAATGTTAGTTAAGTGCTATTATTTTCATTTCCATTATGTTAATTAAATGTCCATATAGAACAGGTAAAACGGAAAAAAGATTAATCATATGAACCCAGCTTCATTTAATAAAAAAAAAAAATCAAGGATCGGATGTCAACTTCAAGCCCACTTAGCATTGTCTAAACTTGCCGGAAAAAAAAACTTGAATCAAATATACCGACTTCAAATTATTATAGTATTACCCGACATAGTTTAGCATAATGCCTATATATCTCAATGCTTTCATCTTGATCGCCAAGAAGTGTTCCGCCATACCAACCATTGGCTTCATCAACACAGGTCATTGAGAGGTACCTAAGATCAGAAAATATGTTTACAATGTACTAATAAAATCAATATTAGCAACAAAAAGACTTGAATCCAACTAAAATGTAAAAATATATCTAGAGAAATCAGAAGTCAGAAAGGACAGGATAACAAGAAACATAATCGATTAGCACTAAAAAATACTTGACTCTAACAAAAATGTAAAATTGTAAATATTTATCCTAAATAACTAGAGAAATCAAAAGTCAGAAAGATCAGGATACCAATGAACACACGATTGCATATAGATTGCACTTCCTTAACTGTTATGTTATCAGCCTTAGAATACAAGTCCCTCCAACCTATACTTTCATAAGTTCCAAAATACTTCACAATGCTTAACAGATGTCATAAATTCCAATATGCTGCAAGGAAAAATATATTCCTCCCCACACTAAGGCTTTCCTTGGTACAAAGGATGGAAAATTTATTAATCTTGTTGGAATCCCTAAAATTAAGGATAGATTACTTACCTTATTCCTAGGAGTTTCCTTGTACAGTAAGATCTAATCTTAGTCTCTAATTTACACTTAGACTACTCTATGAAGGCTATAAACTATTTAGTAAATAATAACAATCTTCTTTTTAAGTTTGTTCATGGCATCAGAATTTTAAGGTTTTTTGATCTTGTCATCTCTAATCTCTCATCCCAAACGTCCCTCCACTTTAATCTCTCTTGCCTCCTGTTTTATTCCTACCCATGGGTGACACAGTCGAAACTTCATCCGACACTAAAACCTCATAAATGATTCCAAATATCAATCAAGGAACCCCTCAAGGGGACCTTAATTCCTCTCTTATGATCACTAACCATCGACTAGATGGGAAAAATTTCCTGCAGTGGTCCCAATCGGTCATTATGGTAATTCGTGGTCGTGGCAAAGTAGGATATATCAATGGAGACATCCCACGACCAGCCACAACAGACCCAACTTATGGCACTTGGGAACTCAATAATTCAATTGTAATAGCTTGGTTAATTAATTCAATAGAAGGCCATATTAGTCGTACCTACCACTTCTTCAAAACTGCAAAAGATACGAGGGATGCAATCAAAGAAAACTACTCGGATCTTGGAAATGCCTCCCAAGTATTTGAGATCAAACGGAAGTTGAAGGACATCCGACAAGGAACACTTGAAGTAACTCACTACTACAATAATCTGAAAATTTTGTGGCAGGAATTGGACATGTACTATGAGGCAGACTGGGGAGAAGGAGTAGAACACACCAAGTTTATGACTCACCTCAACAATGAACGTCTCTGAGTTTTTAGCATGACTGAACCGAGAGATATATGAGGTCTATGGTCGAATTCTGGATAGAACCCCCTCCCAACCATTGGTGAAGCATTTGCAGAAGTTAGAAGAGAAGACAAGCATCGACTTATCATGATGGGTGATCAAAGAAACCTAAACCCGTGACAACTGCTGGTTACCGTCCCTCTGAAAACTCAACACTTATCTCCAGAGGCCTACAGCCACAAACGTTTCGTGCTGGAAACGATTCGAGCTCATCCAGGCCATGGTGTAACCACTGCAACCGCGTAGGACATACCAAGGAAAAATGCTTCAAACTCCATGGCTATCCTGGAAAAAACCATAAGGAGAATAAGACTGCAATGTTGTCCGCTAATACCTCCACTGCTACAAATGATGCTCTCAACGTTCGCCTAACCAAAACCCAACTTGAGACACTCCATGTTGGAAATTTGGTCATTGAAAGCCTTGATTTAGTCATAATCTGTGAGATATTCTAGGATATGTTTTCTATGTAAATATAGAAAGTAAAAGATGTAAATCAAGAAAAAATAGGAAAGTAGAAGCTGTCAAATATTGGCTCTAATTAGTTTCTTTTTTTGTTATAATGTCCCTCTGTATAAAAGGAGCCTTGTACTCATTCAAGAAATAAGACACATTATTTCTTCATTCTTTTCTAATTTGGTGTCAGAGCCATAATCGTGTCTTAACCCTAAAACACAGCAATTCCAAAATCACCGTAGCCATGTCCGAAGCCGCGTCAGAAATCACCTCAACCCCTGCTGCGGCCACTCCGCAACACCACTCCAATTCTCATTTTGTCCAAATCACCACCATCCGCTTAAATGGTGACAACTTCCTCCGATGGTCACAATCAGTCCAGATGTATATTCGTGGGCAAGGGAAAATCGGTTACATCACTGGTGACAAGAAGGCTCCTGCTGTTGATGATCCGCTGTACGCTACTTGGGTTGCTGAAAACTCCATGGTTATGACATGGTTGGTCAATTCCATGCAGGAGGACATAAGCTCCAATTACATGTGCTATCCTACTTCAAATTGTGGGATAATGTTAGTCAGATGTATTCTGACCTGGGCAACCAATCTCAGGTTTTTGAGTTGACTTTAAAATTGGAGATTCGTCAAGGAGATAATTCTGTCACCACATATTTCCATTCGTTGAAAAGGTTATGGCAGGATCTTGATCTCTTCAACACATACGAATGGAAAAGTACTGACGACTGTAATCACCATAAGAAAACTGTAGAAGATAGCCGTATTTACAAGTTTCTTGTCGGCCTCAATGTTAAGTTTGATGAAATACGAGGAAGGATTATTGGCATACCTCCTTTTCCATCCATTGGCGAAGTATTTGCCTAAGTTAGAAGAGATGAAAGCTGAAGGAATGTCATGCTCAAAAAGAGGAGTACTGGTGAGTTAATTGAAAATTCTGCCTTATTGAGTGATGTTGCAGCCTACAAGGCAGCAAACTACCAGCGCAGGTCTGATGATAAACCACGGGTCTGGTGCGATTTTTGCAACAAACCCCGCCATACACGTGAGACATGTTGGAAAATTCATGGCAAACCTGCTAACTGGAAAAGCAACAACCAAGGAGAGAAGAATCGTGGAATTCCTACTGCAAGTGAAGCTCACTTAGGTCCCTTCAACAAAGAGCAGATTGATCAACTCTTGAAACTGATAAAATTCAATTTCTCATCCGTTATTCCTAGTGTTTCTTTGGCACAAACAGGTAGTAATCCTAAAGCCCTTTCTTGTCCAAATTCCTCTCCGTGGATAATAGATTCCTGAGCCTCAGATCACATGACTAGTTTTTCTCATTTATTTAATACCTATTCACCTTGCCGTGGAAATGAAAAAATTAGAATTGTCGATTGTAGTTTTTCACCTATTGCAGGAAAAGGACTCATTAAACTGACAGAGAAAATTAATCTCAATAATGTTCTTCATGTCCTAAATTAGCCTGCAATCTTTTGTCTGTCAGTAAACTATCTAGAGATTCTAATAGTTGCATTACCTTCTTTGAATCACATTGTGAATTTCAGGACCGGAACTCGGGGATGATGATTGGATGTGCTAGGATGATTGAAGGTCTTTATTACTTTGATAAAGTATCTATTAGTAATGAAAAAGTTCAGAGCTTTAATGGTACTAGTTCAATTTTGATTCGAGAAAAAATAATGTTGTGGCACCATAGACTAGGACATCCTAGTTTTCTTTATTTGAAACACTTATTTCCAGAATTATTTCAAAAAACCGTCGTTCCCCTTATTTACCAAAAGATTATCAGGCCTCCAAACCTTTTTATCTGATTCATAGTGATGTTTGGGCCCCTTCTAAAGTTATTACTATTTTTGGTAAAAGGTGGTTTGTTACTTTTATTGATGACCACACACGGTTATGTTGGATTTATCTAATGAATAAAAAGTCTGACGTAAAATATTTATTCAAAAATTTTTACACTGATTGAAAACCAATTTCAAACCAAGATTAGTATTTTACATTCTGACAATGGAACAGAATATTTTAATGAGCACTTAGGTGATTTTTTGAAAGAGAAAGGGATTTTTCATCACTCTACATGTCGGGATACCCCTCAACAAAATGGCATTGCAGAACGAAAAAATAAACATTTACTTGAAGTAGCACGTGCCATAATGTTTTACATGCATGTTCCCAAATACTTATGGGGTGAAGCAGTTTTAACATCCGCTTACTTGATAAATAGGATGCCTACTAAGGTGTTAACATACAAAACACCACTCGATTGCCTAAAATCATCTTTTCCTGGAACAAGGTTGTTTTCTGAGTTACCTGTCAAAGTTTTTTGATGTACTGTCTATGTTCATGTTCCATGCCAATTTCGTTCAAAACTTGACCCACGTGCTATTAAATGAGTTTTTTGAGTACTCTTCAAATAAAAAGGGTATAAGTGTTTTGATCCTCAAACAAAAAAATTT